CCCGACGCGGCAGCAAGACCGCGCCCCGCCAGGCCCCGCCCCTGTCGGGCGTGGACCCTCCCTCTCCCAGTCCGTGGTCTGGAGGTCAGTGACTCCTGCGGTCTGTGCCTAGGGTCCGCTCTTACCGGCGCCCGCCTGTGGAGGCGCGCCGGGCGCTCCTGCGGCCATGCTGCCCGGGATAAACGCGCGCTCTTGAAGCGACACTGGAAAGCGGGATGCAGGAGCATGGGTAGCGGGGTACGGCGGGAGGAGGAGTGGGGGGGGGGAAGCGGGTCGGGGCTGGAAGTCGGCGCGTGCCGGTGACGTCAGGGCGTCCAAGTGCGCCCTCGCGCGTGCGCACCTGCCGCCGGCCTGCTTCCCGGGGCATGCTGGGAGTCCCTGCGCTGGGGCACTGGGTGCGCGCCTGCGTGGTCTGCGTCTTGGTGGTTCTCCCCATACGTTCTGGAGGTTCGATCTGATCCCTTGGTCTTTTGGCGCCCAGCAAGTACACAAGTAAGGGCTGGCTAAGCCGACATTTTACCCCAAGTTGAGTAACCCTCGACCGTTATTCCCCAAAGAACAGCCCCCCCACCCCGGGAGGACAGCCCTGGCAGAGAGGACTTTCCCGGGTCACCGCACAGGATGCTGGGCCTTGGGCATAGCCGTCTCCACTCCCGGCAGCTCTGCCCGAGTCTGGGCACCCGAGAATCCTGGGGAGAGCTGGATGGACAAATCACGTGGGGACGACAAAAACGTAAATGGGACAGCACCTCGGGGGGAATTGGCTGAAATTTAAAAGGGGAGCCCAGGCACTTTGCATTATTGGGCTGGCATAACTGGCTCGCAGGTATGGGGACACGGGAGTGTGGACAAAGCTGGTGGACTTTGCAGCGTTTCCGGTCGGCAGGTGGGCAGTGTCTTGGAAGGATCTCAGAACCAGGCAAGCCCCCCTCTTGGGTGGTGTACCAGGAAGATAACCACGTGGGAGAATATGCTGTAAAGCCAGAAAAATCTGAAAGCAGTCTAAATGTCAATCTATAGAAATTGGTTGCGTAAACTGGCTGTTCAGACAGTTGCATGATGTGGCCATTAAAAATTAGACTGTGTGGGGGCGCCTGGGTGGCTCAGATGGTTGGGCGTCTGCCTTCGGCTCAGGTCACGGTCCTGGAGTCCCGGGATCGAGTCCCGCATCGGGCTCCCTGCTCGGCGGGGAGTCTGCTTCTCCCTCTGACCCTCCCCCACTCATGCTCTCTCTATCTCATTCTCTCTCTCAAATAAATAAATACAAAAAAAATCTTTAAAAAAAAAACTTCTTCAGAAGAAAACAAAGACTTCACTAATGGATTTTATAAAACATTTAAGGAATAGTTAGCACCAATATTACACAAATGCTTTGAAAAGACAGAAAATGTGGCAACATTTCCCAACTCACATTAAGAGGCCTCCACAATCTTGGTGCCCAAACTACCCTCCCAGGTATACATTCAACAGAAACGCTCACATACACTCGGCAAAGGACGTGCATGTTCATAGCATTGCTACCCGTAATAGCCCAAACCTACTGTTTTGGAAACACTTAGCTGTACATCAAGAAGGACTGGGAAGTCAAACATGGTATATCCATGCAGTAGAAAACATAGCAGGGACACCAACTAGACCACGGCCGCTCACAATGAAATGGACGGCTGTCACTCACTGTTCAGCAAAGAAGATAACATGCAATATAATTCCATTTATATAAAGCCCAAAAACAGGCAAAAATGAGCCTGTGGAAGTAGAGATAAGAAGAGGGTTTTTTTTTTTTTAAAGATTTTTATTTATTTATTTGAGAGAGAAAGAATGAGACAGAGAGAGCATGAGAGGGAGGAGGGTCAGAGGGAGAAGCAGACTCCCCGCCGAGCGGGGAGCCCGATGCGGGACTCGATCCTGGGACTCCAGGATCATGACCTGAGCCGAAGGCAGACGCTTAACCAACTGAGCCACCCAGGCGCCCAAGAAGAGGGTTTTTTTAAACCCCTCTGCCTTTGCACGTGCTTTCCTCCGTACCATGTGAGCTCAAGTATCTCCTGCACAAAGTGGCTTCCCTGGCCTCACCAAGGTAGCTGACCGAGGCCTCTGGTGCCCACTACTGCACAGCTGTGCGCAGCTGTCCTCACCAGCTCCTGTGGGCAGGCTGGTGTGTCTGACCAGGGGTCCTATAGGAATGTCTAATCTTTGCAATGTTTACATGCAGGAGGGGAAAGAATGTCATCCCTGCGCTGAGACCACCGTGCCAGCACAGGACACAGGACTCCCGAAGCACACGCTGTTCCCTTGACTGGCTGCTTCCTCACTGTATGACTGAAACCAGCAACTTAAAGCCAAACCCTTCTCACTTGTGCCAAGGACCCTGAGCCTGAAAAGGGTATGCAAAAGTTCCCCTACACCTGCCCCCGTGTGAACTTCCTCCTGCCAAATGACAGAACTTAGCCCATACATTAGAGGGCCCTCTACATTCCAAACCTTAGGACAAAACCCATCTGGTCATCTCTGGTGTAAGTTACAAACTATCACTTACATAACCACTCACACAAACTCAGAGCAGCCACCGATCAAGCTAATCCTCAAACACTTGCTACTCCATCCTAAATGGGTTCTATTTCACCTGAGGGGTTGTTGGGGAAAATCCAGTGTGCTCTCTATATTCACTATGAGCATTTTCTGTATGCGCCTTACATTTCAATAAACAAGATATTTTTTAAAGGAATATATTTACAGAAGCAGAATAGGAACAGGGACTCCACCCAAAGATACACCTGGGCAGCATCTCACAAACATATACTGGGGTTTCTCTCCTTGGCCCCCCCGTTCCTGTTTCCTGAGACCCTCTATGTTGGGATGCTGCAACAGGCATTGAGGAAAAGGCAAAACGAATCCAAAGGCTATTTCAGAAAACATGTAGTTTGGTGGGGACTGAAGCCTATGGGGCAGGTGGGAAGGGGCTGGATCGAGAAGACAGAATGAACACTGGAAATGAGCAAGAGTGGTCCCCTCTGGGAGGGGACAATGTGAAACTGGGTGGGGGGAGTACTTCTATATACAAAAAATCCCAAATCCCACATCAGCTGAACTAAGTTTAAAAATAAAGATGGGACGCCTGGGTGGCTCAGTCATTAAGCGTCTGCCTTCGGCTCAGGTCATGATCCCAGGGTCCTGGGATCGAGCCCCACATCTGGCTTCCTGCTCAGCGGGTAGCCTGCTTCTCCCTCTGTCTGCAGCTCCCCCTGCTTATGCTCTCTGTCTCCTTCTCTCTCTGACAAATAATTAAATAAAATCTTAAAAAAAAAAAAAAAGACATAACTGGGAGAATCAGGTGAGCTCCAAAATAAAGACATAAGTTCCTGTGAATCCCATGCAGCCTGCCTTGTGGCCCACGTACTGTCTGGGAGAGGGTTCAGCCACATGTATGGTGGTAACCTTCATGCTCGGCTTCATAGGGTGTCTCAAAGTCGACAAGCACCTTCTCTCATGTTCCTCACTGATTCTCACAGCAGACAAGTCCTCACATACCTATGGGATGTCACAAAGGGGACCAAACAGCCTCAGGGCGAAGCGTTTGTTTTAAATAGTTCTCTTTATCAAGAATTTTGGGAAACAAATCTAATAGGTTATGGCATAGAAGAGAATAAAATGAAAGTAGACCACTTTAGCAGCTTTCCAAAAAATGTAACTCTTTTGGTAGGCAAGGAAGCCAGTCCCAGAGTCAGCCCAGTGGAGCCCTTCTGGTGTCCTGTGATGAATTCTAAACCTCACACTCAGATTCCAACTCAAAGTGCCTTGTTTTTGCAGCACACACTTGCATAAACAATATTTGGAGCTCATGTGAGCATTTACCTGCATTATGTCAGAGAATCCTCACTGCCCAGAGGGAGGGATTGGGTGGTGCTAGTGTCCAGACGAAATGACCAAGCTGGTCATCACAGGGAAAGGTCACCCCAGGTCAGCTGGTTCCAGGCCCTGTGCTCAACCATCTCCTTTAAAGACCACCAGAAGAGCAGTTTAATACAATCTAACGATCAGCTCTGGCATGTAGTTCGCTTACTTGCAAACTTCATCTGCCAAAATGTCAATTCTGAGAATTGGGGACTAGCCCACCACTTACTTGTTGATAAGCACCCAAAATATAAGTCACAATGTTTATGTACCAAAGTTCATGATGTTTATTTGTGTAAGAACATTTCCAATCAGTGCTCAGACATTTACTCACTTTAGGCACAATTCCAACAGCCTTTGATAGTATTTCCCATTAAACACAAAGAAATGAGGGGCGCCTGGGTGGCTCAGTCAGTTAGGCGGCTGCCTTCGGCTCAGGTCATGATCCCAGAGTCCTGGGATCGAGCCCTGCGTCGGGCTCCCTGCTCAGTGGAGAGCCTGCTTCTCCCTCTCCCTCTGCCTGCCTCTCTGGCTACTTGTGTTCTCTCTCTCTCTGTCAAATAAATAAATAAAATCTTTAAAAAAAAATAAACACAAAGAAATGAACTAAAACAGGGACAGCAAGACTGGGCGCATCAGGCAGCAGGCACACTTTAAGATGCCACAAGAGCATCACTGTATTTCAGCAAAAACAGTTGATGGTGGTTTCTTCTCCCTCCTCTGAACAACCCAGCTGTGTGATACCCGGAGGGTACCAGTGACCTCTGCGTCGCCCCACCTGTGGCTCCAGGCTGCAAGCTCGGCCTGGCTTACCCCTTCTTCCTCCCAGGCACCTGCAGCGGTGCTGGCCCACAGAAGGTCTCCCAAAGTGTGTGCAAATTAGTTTTAGAAAAGTTAATCACAGTCAATGATTCACGGCAAGTGAATAGTATAATTAAACAGTTTCTATTAAAGTTGTTAAAATGAAACTTCAGCACTTGAAGAAGTAAGTTCTCAGGAAAAGCCATTTCTTTCTTTTTTTTTTTTAAGATTTTATTTATTTATTTGAGAGAGCACACGAGAGGGGGGAGGGTCAGAGGGCGAAGCAGGCTCCCCGCCGAGCAGGGAGCCCGATGCTGGACTCGATCCCGGGACTCCAGGATCATTACCTGAGCCGAAGGCAGTCGCTTAACCGACTGAGCCACCCAGGCGCCCGGAAAAGCCATTTCTTTCTGAAGCACCCTCCCATCCCTTTTGCTGCAGCAGGAACTGGCGCTCCTGGAGGACAGGTACCTTGCTCCTTACTGCTCCTTCCGGACCTTTCTTCCCCTCCTCAGGACCCAGCTTTCCATTTCACATCCTCGGCTGAGCACCACTTGTTCACTCGGTGGACACGGGCCACGCCCCTCAGCTCCTGGTCCCTCCTCCCAGGCCCGGCCTCCCCCTCCCAGGCTTCCCCCCACCAGGGATTTCTGCCTGCTCGGCTCAGTGTTGAATCCTCAGCACCTACAACACAGCGGGCACAAAGGCGTTACACAAGAAATATTTATTGAATGAATGCATTTAGTGAGACACAGAATTATTAAGTTTTTGACAACGACAGATAAAGGAACCATTGTCCACTGATTACGAACGTTGCCTTAATGAATAACGCTTTCATCTTTGTGTCTACCTACCTATGCATACTGCCCAGCTCTACCAAGTAGTCGGTGCTCCGCAGAGTACCGCTGTGCAGAATGTCCAGCCCCAGACTTTGCCCCAAGTCGCCGAACCGAGCCCCCAGCCCCGCCACGTTAATGTTACCGCCTGGGCCGGACGTCCCAGGCACACCTGCCAGGCGGGACACCGGGAGGGCCGCACCGGGACCACCGCTCCGCCCCGCCGCCACGTCCCGCCAGGGAGAGCGAGCGTCCGCCCCATGCGAGGCCCCGCTCCCGAAGCGAGGCCCCGCCCCGACGCAAGGCCCCGCCCATAACACTCAGGCCCCCGCCCCGCAGAGCCTGCGTCCGCCCCACGCGAGGCCCC